GGGACCAGACCAGCAGGAAAAAGACGATTGTTGAACCAGGCAAGGGCCCCCACCGGCTCAGGGAAGCGGTGGTGAACTGGACTGGAAAGGGTGTGGACGTCGAATGGCAGGCACTGACGGGAAGGACTGGGCTACGAAAAAGTGAGGTCGGCGGAGATGTACCGCTACCTGCCGACATCCCACTACTCCAGGAGCATGTATCGGTACATGATGAGGTACGTGTACCCACAATTGGGCGAGAAGAGCGAAGAGGGCCAAGTCTCGAGACATTCGACTGGCTGTTAGTGGTTTCTGTTTCTCTCTGATTTTTTTTTTCTTGGGAGGGAAGATGGAGGGAGGGAAAAAAGAAAAAGTGGAACTCCTGCCATGCTTCGCGATGGACTTCCCGGCGGCAGCCCCCCCATGCAGGTGGGAAAGCTGTTGCTGGTGCTGGCGTTGGTATTGTCTGGTGCTGCAGCGCCTGCAGAGAGCTCCTCAACCATATTCAGACGCTTAACCCAATCGAGCATGGGACGATCAGGGGGGCCTTCCCCACAAAACCATTTCATTGGGGGAATGCAGGGTGGGACGGCGGGGCCTTTGGGAGGGACGCCAGGGAGGACGTCGTCACTGTTGCGAGGTTGACGTTTGGAAGTTGAGGCGATACATGAACTGGAAAACAACCACCACACATCAGTCACTCCGGCCAAGATTAGAAGACATTTCCAATGGGTGCTCGGCAATGGGATGAGATGAGAGGTCATCTGTTGTGATCATTGTGGTGCATCTGTTCCCCGTGGAGTTGCAAAGATGCCACCATTGCATGAAGCTGTATGTCACGCAGTCTGGTCAGCAACACAGACCGGAGCCAATGCCGGATCTGTGCGAGGAGCTTCGAGCTGTCAGGCGCGTTATCACCATCATGCCGCTGCATGCATTGATGGATGATCTTTAAGTTGTCTTATCGACAATGTTGCCGAGGGCCTCCTTCCGTGCGCCTCGTCCCTTTGCTTTCTTCTGTGCCACCTCTCCGCTTTGCGCGAGATAAGTTCCATGCCGTGAGGCTGGGCGAGACACCTCCAGTTCTTGAGCTACCTTGAACGGATAGCTCTGTGGCGCGTCTTGTCTGAGCTCTTCGTGACTGCCACTTTCCTTCGCGTCCCTTTCCCGAGCTGTCGGAATGTTGGATTCGGCCTAGTGGCGCGAACCTGCCCCTCAATACCGATGTAGCGCACGTAGGAAGCGTTAGACCGGCGCAAGGCTCAGTGTCTTAGACCTTCAAGCCTCGCCTTACCGCTCGACTTTTCCCTAGCTAGCTCCCTGGGCACACAATGGGAATGTAGCTTTCGGCCAGAGCCAGCTCGATGTACCCGTTCCGACGACCCTCAACTCTGATCGGGCTCCCTATCAGCCGGCTCCTTATCGCCGCGTTCCCGTTGGCCGCTTGGTCCCAGTTGCGACACTCAACCAAGCAGACTTCGGGAGCTTGTTGGAAGCTTGGCGGGTTGGCGGGAAGGCTGATGGGACAAGGCTCGCCTCGACGGAACTCTGCAACTGGCGTCATCCACGGCCACGGATTAGTGATAGCGGTTGATCCCGAATACGTGTTCACTCGCCCAATATAGCAATACGAGTGCGGCAGGTTGTGAGAAAGTGGTGTCATGATAGCACTTTGGCCCGTCAACAAACGGGGACCCGGAAAGCAACAGCCGCATCGACGAGGCCTCTCATCAACGGGACCCCAAAAGTCCAGGTTGCAGCAGATTCTGAAGGGGGGAAGATGGGAAATGGAGGGAGTGGAGGGGCAAAAAAGTGGCCGCTGCTCCAGGAACCCGCCAAAGTTGATGAGGGGCCAAACGAGACGGGATGTAGCGATACCTTGAGGGCAAGGTGACTTGACCCAAGCTTTTTGGGGGGAGGCTCTCTCAGCTCCAGCCGACAGCCCTGAAGCTGTCTGGGAGAGGCAAGCTGACTTTTCGACCGTCCGTGCTGATCAAGTATGCGAATGTTGACATTGTCATCTGGCCTGGCCAATGCTGACCTTTGGGCTAACGGCGACGGGTTCCTCCAGTTCTTCAGTGGACATTGAGACCGGCTGCAACGAGAGGCAAGATGGCGGGCTGGTGGGAGGGTGGATGAACGCCTCCAGTTGACCCCATTGCCTGCAAGGTATTGTCCGAGGGGACCTGGAAACCGGATCTCACCTCATCAGCCAACAAAACGATTGTGATGCGCAGGAGTCGCAGCGGGATCGCCGTCTGTCTCTAGCCACCTCCAAGTTTCTTCGATGCAATCCAACACATTCTGGACGAATATTGATCATTAGCCACCTTGCCCACATAAAATTGCAGATTTTACATGCTTCGAATGCCAGCCTTCTCCTGCATCAGCTCATGCAGTTCCCTTAAGCTGTCAAGGCTTGTGAGGCTAGACTGGGTTCTCTTGATTGCGCATTTAGATGTCTGTGCCTGCCGCTGCCCCTCGACAAGAAAAAAACAAAAACAAAAGTCGGCCATCGAGGGGCTTGCATTCCCCGACAAGCGTCCGCGTGGCATGGCAAGCGATAGCTCCCGCCCCAGCAAGCCAAGACAGGCCAGTGACCGAACGGATGGCGGTAGCGGTACCTCGAAATGGCGGGCGGTGTCGAGCATGTCTCCCTCCCTTTCTCAGGGTCCCGCGCATTTCTCGTCCACCCCAGCATCAGCCCCAGGCGTGGGGTGGAAGCGGTGGGGAGAGAAGGGCGGCAGAAAGTCCGTTACAACGCTGGCACCTTTGACCGCCTACCAACAGCCAGGGAGCTGCGGGAACATTACGGGGCTCCATGAGGTAGCCGGTACTTTTGGTTGGACGGATTCCGCATATCTGGGACCTGCCCCTCCAAGTACCAATCGAGGGTCCAGTACTTTGAGGTACGACAGGGCAGTGATGGATCGCTGATAGGGAAAAGGGACAGCCAGACCTGATGTTCGCAGACCGCAAGCGCACGCCGGTTTTCTCGAGAGGCAAATCGAGACAGATGGAAGCGAGTAGAGATGTCGCGCAGACCCGACATGGCCCGCAAGTCGAAACACCAGGACAGGCGGCGTTATCGTCTGTTTTCTGCATCCGGGGTAGCATCTCGGCATCTTATCGGCCTGCACATCGAGATGAGGCAGATGGTTCGTGACGGTCAGCTCTGAAGAGCCGAAGATGCTGCCGTTTGGCCGAGCATTGGTGCGCCCATTGGGCCTGGAGTAATTGGTCGAGTGTCTGGGTGAAGCATGGCGGATGGACCAGGAACGGGCTGAAGGGTTGAGATACGCGGGAAAGATCCGGGCAAAAGATGGCCTAGTCCAGTGTGTAGTTGATGTCTAGTTGCCCCCAAAATAGGGAGAAGGCGGCCACCGTCCCGGCCCCGTCCAGCCTTCGAGGCGACCTTACCTCACGACAGCCAAGTCGTTGCGTGCCGCCAACGAACGTACCGGTACAAGGCCGGCCGTTCTCCAACGCGGCACCCTTGCGGATCACTCGGGCTGCATGAAGTCAGGGGTGGAGCTGGAGGGGTGGGCGTGGTGTGCGACCATCCCCAACAGAACTAAAAAATTTGGCGAGACATTGAGATTTGAGACTTGGAGGAGGCAGTCGTGCAGGCACCACCACCACGTAGCACTTGTGATTTGCATTGCTTTGCGCCAGCACGGCAAGAGGGACAGTATGGGACCTGGCTTGCTGGCCGGATGGTAGCTAAAGTAGGTATCTACGCTGGGGAGGAAAGAGCATCTCAGGAGGAAGCAGGCAGTAGCTCCTCCAGCATTGGAGGTGCGGCTGTTTCCCGATTCGAAGTTCCCCTCGGCGTGTTCTCAGTCAACAATGGAAACCGCGTACGGAAACTTCTCAGCATGTTCGCGACTTCCCTGCAAATGGCGGGGTGAGAAACGGGCAGCACAGCAACTTCGCCGGCCAACAGTAACAGCCATGGATGGCACTACGAGACTTCAGACCGTCAAAGCCGTTCCGTCAGCCCGGACCAACTAGATTCATTCCAGTGTACTCCAACTCTCGACGGCAGAAAAAAAAATAGCAGAGACCCGGCCTAATTTTCTAATCGTTGAGTTCACTGCGAGCCACCCCAAGGCACCGTTCTCCAAAACTGGAACCCGAAACCTCCAATTACGTTGACCGGATTGACCTCACCTACCTTTGCCGCGCAGCAGTGAGGACCCATCAAACGACCTCCACACCCACGCCGCCCGCCACGAAGTACACCCAGTGCAGGTACATCGAAGCTTCGGCGGTGGTGTGTGCCAATCTCCTGCGAGGTAGGTATCCCAATCCCAATCCCAATCCAATCCCACAAACCCCAATCATCCCAGTCCCCATTGAGAGAGAGGGGAGGGGAGAGACCCGGGCAACTTGTCCCACGACCCAAGCAAGACCCAATATCCAGGACCCAGACCACGCTGCAAAACCAAAGGGATGCAGTGTGAGTTCAATTGCCTCGCCTACCCATCATAACCACCGCTACACACCCTCCCAACCTTCCCTTGATCTCTGAGCTCTCTCATCTTTAAGCTCCCTCTCCGCCACTCCCACTCTCTTCCTCCACATCAAACTTCACGTCAAGGACTCTTCGTGCTGGGCAGTCTTCTCGTTTTCTCTTTTCTTTCTTGTCCTTCATAGACTCTCTATTGCTCTCGGAGAATCGGAGAGACCAGCTCACAACGACCCGTCCCTATTAGACGTAGTACCGCTTCTACTATTACAACCCCACGACCACTCCCGCGCGCCCGCCGCCCACTCTTCCACACCGCCGTCCCGGAGCATCTCGCACTTGCCTCCTGCTCTTTGCTGAGTACACGGAGTCAGACACTGGTAAGCCACCGCCTTTTTTTGCTTCCCACGCTGCCAATTGAAAACTTTGCGGGGACGAGAGACAACGAGACACGGAGACATTTTGGCTAACACGTGGCGGGCTCAGCTCCATTCGTAACCCACGAAAAAAAATCCTTCCCCCTCTTGATACCCCAAAAACCGCCATCACCATGTACGGCACCGGAACTGGCCCCCAGACGGGCGTTTCTACCCCTCGATCCAACGCTTCTCTCCGCCCTCTTACTCTCCGCCACGGCTCGCTCGAGACCTCATTCCTCGTTCCGACTGCTCTCCACTTCCACGCCCAGCAATTGAAGGACCGCTTCAATGCTACCCTTCCTCCCGCCACAGATGAGCTTGCTCAGGATGACGAGCCCTCATCCGTCGCAGAGCTGGTTGCGAGATACATGGGTTTCGTCGCCGACGAGGTCGAGAAGGGTGAGGACGACGAGTCTGGCTCTTATGAGGAGGTCCTGAAGCTCGTCCTTAACGAGTTCGAGCGCGGTTTCCTCCAGGGCAACGAGGTCCACGCCCTCGTAGCTACCCTCCCCGGCATCGACGCCAAGAAGTTGGTCGTCATCCGCAGCTACTACCAGGCCAGACAAACGACTGGCCGCACGATTAAGGCGTACGGCTCAGCGCTTTTCCGCGCCGCCGATGACGGCTCTGCCGACATCTACACCATTTTCGGTGGCCAGGGCAACATCGAGGAGTACTTCGACGAGCTGCGCGAGATTTACAAGACATACCAGCCCTTCGTTGGCGAGCTCATTCACAACGCCGCTGAGCTTCTCCAGAACCTCTCCAAGCACGCCAATGCCGAGAAGCTCTACCCCAAGGGCCTGGATATCTTGAGGTGGCTTGAGGACGAGGATGCTACTCCCGACGTTGACTACCTCATCTCAGCACCCGTCAGTTTCCCCTTGATTGGTCTCGTACAGCTTGCGCACTACGAGGTTACCTGCAAGGTCCTCGGTGTTCACCCTGGTCTGCTGCGCGAGCAGATCACCGGTACCACCGGTCACTCCCAGGGTATCGTTCTCGCCGCGGCCACTGCTGCCGCCGAGTCCTGGGAGTCATGGAAGGAGATTGCGCCGTCTGCGCTCACCATCCTGTTCTGGATCGGTGCTCGTAGCCAGCAGGTCTTCCCCCGCACCTCCTTGACACCCACTATGATTCGGGAGTCTGTTGAGAACGGCGAAGGTACTCCCACTCCCATGCTTAGCATCAGAGACCTCTCGCTGGCTGAGGTCCAGAAGCACATTGATGCTACCAACCAGTACCTCCCCGCTGACCGTCACATCTCCGTTTCCCTCATCAACAGCCCTCGCAACCTCGTTGTGACCGGTCCTCCCATCTCCCTGTACGGTCTGAACGCTCAGCTGCGCAAGGTCAAGGCCCCCGTCGGTCTGGACCAGAACCGTATCCCCCACACGGACCGCAAGCTCCGCTTCGTCCACCGCTTCCTGCCAATCACTGCTCCTTTCCACAGCAAGTACCTGGCTGAGGCTACGGAGCTGATCGACGAGGACTTGAAGAACATCAAGATCGACGCCAAGTCTCTTGGTACTGCTGTCTTCGACACGAACACCGGCAAGGACATCCGTGAGGAGGTTAGCGGCAACATCATTCCCACCCTCATCCGTCTTATCACCAGAGATCCTGTCAACTGGGAGAAGGCCACCGTCTTCCCTAAGGCTACTCACGTCCTTGACTTCGGTCCTGGTGGCATCTCCGGCCTCGGTGTTTTGACCAGCCGCAACAAGGAGGGCACTGGTGTCCACGTCATCCTCGCTGGTACCGTCTCTGGCAGCATCACCGAGGTTGGCTACAAGCCTGAGCTCTTCGACCGCGATGAGGAGCACGCCGTCAAGTACGCCATTGACTGGGTCAAGGAGTTCGGCCCTCGCCTGGTCACCACTTCCAACGGCGACACCTACGTTGATACCAAGATGTCTCGCCTCTTGGGTCTCCCTCCCATCGTTGTTGCCGGTATGACTCCCTGCACGGTTCCTTGGGACTTCGTTGCCGCCACCATGAACGCCGGTTACCACATTGAGTTGGCCGGTGGTGGTTACTTCGACCCCGGCATGATGACTGCCGCCCTTCGCAAGATCGAGGGTGCCATCCCTTCCGGACGTGGTATTGGTGTCAACTTGATCTACGTCAACCCCCGCGCTATGCAGTGGCAGATTCCCATGCTCGGCAAGCTTCGTGCTGAGGGTGTTCCCATCGAGGGTCTCACCATCGGTGCTGGTGTCCCCTCCGTTGAGGTCGCCCAGGAGTACATTGACACCCTCGGCCTGAAGCACATCAGCTTCAAGCCTGGTTCCGTCGATGCCATCCAGTCCGTCATCAATATTGCCAAGGCGAACCCCACCTTCCCCGTCCTTCTCCAGTGGACTGGTGGTCGCGGCGGTGGTCACCATTCTTACGAGGATTTCCACCAGCCTATCTTGACGATGTACAGCCGTATTCGTCGCCAGGACAACATCATCCTCGTTGCCGGCAGTGGTTTCGGTGGTGCCGAGGACACTTACCCTTACCTTACCGGCGAGTGGTCCAAGAACTACGGCTACCCCCCGATGCCTTTTGACGGTACCCTGTTCGGCTCCCGCATGATGGTTGCCAAGGAGGCGAAGACCAGCCCTGCCGCCAAGCAGGCCATCATCGACGCTCCCGGTGTCGAGGACAGCGAGTGGGAGAAGTCCTACAAGGGCCCCATCGGAGGTGTTATCACCGTTCTCTCTGAGATGGGAGAGCCCATCCACAAGCTTGCTACCCGTGGTGTCCTGTTCTGGGCCGAGATGGACCGCAAGATCTTCGCGCTCCCCAAGGAGAAGCGTGTCCCTGAGCTGAAGAAGAACCGCGATTACATCATCAAGAAGCTCAACGACGACTTCCAGAAGCCGTGGTTCGGACGCAACCGTGCTGGCCAGGCTGTCGACCTTGAGGACATGACTTACGGCGAGGTCGTTCGCCGCATGGTTGACATCATGTACATCCGCCACCAGAAGCGCTGGATTGACCCTACCCTCCGTTCCTTCACCGGCAAGTTCATCAGCCGTGTCGAGGAGCGTTTCACCTCCACCACTGGCCACGCCGCTCAGCTCCAGGACTTCAAGGATTTGGACACTCCTTACGAGACTGTCGAGCGTATCCTGTCTCACTACCCCGAGGCCGACACCCAGCTCATCAACGCCCAGGATGTTCAGCACTTCCTGATGCTTTGCATGTTCCCCTTCCAGAAGCCCGTTCCCTTTATCCCTTGCTTCGATGAGAACTTCGACTTCTACTTCAAGAAGGACTCTCTGTGGCAGTCTGAGGACCTTGATGCCGTTCCCGGCCAGGATGTTGGACGTGTCTGCATTCTCCAAGGCCCTACCGCCGTCAAGTACTCCAAGGTCATGGATGAGCCCATCAAGGACATTCTGGACGGCATCCACAAGACTCACGTTCAGTACCTGACCCGTGACCGCTACAACGGTGATGCCAAGAGCATTCCCACCATCGAGTACTTCGGTGGCAAGCTCATCGACACCGAGGTTCCCGTTGAGGATGTTGACGGCCTTACCGTCTCCTACGACGACGCGCACAAGAACACCTACCGTCTGTCGACTGCTCCCAATGCCACCCTGCCCAGCCTCGACTCTTGGTTGGCCCTCCTCGCTGGTCCCGACCGCAGCTGGCGCCACGCCCTCCTCACTTCCGAGGTCGTCGTTCAGGGACAGAAGTTCCAGACCAACCCCATCAAGCGCATCTTCGCTCCTTCTCGTGGCCTCTTCGTTGAGATCCAGTACCCCAAGGACCCGAAGAAGACGAAGATCATTGTCAAGGAGCAGCCTCGTCACAACCACTACGTCGAGGTTATCGAGGTCAAGCTTGAGAACAACAATGAGGTTGTCGTCAACATGATCAAGGACACCACCGCCCTTGGCAAGCCTGTCGCTCTCCCCCTCAAGTTCACCTACCACCCTGAGGCCGGCTACGCCCCTCTCCGTGAGGTGATGGAGGGCCGTAACGACCGCATCAAGGAGTTCTACTGGCGTGCGTGGTTCGGTGACGAGACTCTCGACCTGGATGCCGATGTCGCCAGCAAGTTCGACGGTGGCAAGGCCACCATCACTGGTGAGGACATCAACGACTTTGTCCACGCCGTCGGCAACACTGGCGAGGCTTTCGTTGAGCGTCCTGGCAAGACTGTCTACGCTCCCATGGACTTTGCCATCGTCGTTGGCTGGAAGGCTATCACCAAGCCCATCTTCCCCCGCACCATTGACGGTGACCTGCTGAAGCTCGTCCACCTTTCCAACGAGTTCCGCATGAAGCCTGGTGCCCAGCCTCTCCAGAAGGGCGATGAGGTCTCCACCACCGCTCAGATCAACGCTGTCATCAACCAGGAGTCTGGCAAGATGGTTGAGGTCTGCGGTACCATCTACCGCGATGGCGAGGCCGTCATGGACGTCACCTCCCAGTTCTTGTACCGCGGTGCCTACACCGACTACGAGAACACCTTCCAGCGCAAGAACGAGACCCCCATCCAGCTGCACCTCGCCACCAGCAAGGACGTTGCTGTTCTCAAGTCCAAGCAGTGGTTCAACACCGACGACATGCCCCGTGACCTGGATCTCCTTGGCCAGACTCTCACCTTCCGTCTGCAGAGCTTCCTCCGTTACAAGACCAAGACCGTCTACAGCAGCGTCGCTACCCAGGGTCAGGTCCTCCTGGAGCTTCCCACCAAGGAGGTCATCCAGATCGCCAGTGTCGACTACGAGGCCGGCCAGTCCAACGGCAACCCTGTTGTTGATTACCTCGAGCGCAACGGTACCCCCCTGGACCAGCCCCTCCACTTCGAGAACCCTATTCCTCTCAGTGGCCGTACCCCTCTCCAGCTCCGTGCCCCTGCCACCAACGAGAACTACGCTCGTGTCTCTGGCGACTACAACCCTATCCACGTCTCCCGCGTCTTCGCCAACTACGCCAACCTGCCCGGCACCATCACTCACGGCATGTACTCCAGTGCCGCCGTCCGCAGCTTGGTTGAGACTTGGGCTGCCGAGAACAACATTGGTCGCGTTCGCAGCTTCCATGCTTCTCTCGTTGGCATGGTTCTGCCTAATGATGACCTTGACGTCAAGCTTCAGCACGTTGGCATGGTTGGAGGTCGCAAGATCATCAAGGTTGAGGCCAGCAACAAGGAGACTGAGGAGAAGGTTCTCCTTGGTGAGGCCGAGGTTGAGCAGCCTGTGACTGCCTACGTCTTCACTGGTCAGGGCTCTCAGGAGCAGGGCATGGGTATGGAGCTTTACGCCTCCAGCCCTGTCGCCAAGGAGGTCTGGGACCGCGCTGACAAGTACCTGCTGGACAACTATGGTAAGTTATCTTCCTCAGTAATTTGTTGAACTTGAGAACTAATGGCATCTAGGCTTCTCGATCACCAATATCGTCAAGAACAACCCCAAGGAGCTGACGGTTCACTTTGGTGGTCCCCGTGGCAAGGCTATCCGCCAGAACTACATGTCCATGACCTTCGAGACTGTTGCTGCCGACGGCTCTATCAAGTCTGAGCGCATTTTCAAGGAGATTGACGAGAAGACCACTTCCTACACCTACCGCTCCCCCACTGGCCTGCTGTCGGCTACTCAGTTCACCCAGCCCGCCCTGACCCTCATGGAGAAGGCCAGCTTCGAGGACATGAGATCGCGTGGCCTTGTTCCCAGAGACTGCACCTTCGCTGGTCACTCTCTGGGTGAGTACTCCGCCCTCGCTGCCTTGGCTGAGGTCATGCCCATTGAGAGCTTGGTGTCTGTCGTCTTCTACCGTGGTCTTACCATGCAGGTTGCCGTCGAGCGCGACGCTGCCGGACGCTCCAACTACTCCATGTGCGCCATCAACCCCAGCAGAATCTCCAAGACTTTCAACGAGGAGGCTCTCCAGTTCGTTGTCAACAGCATTGCTGAGGAGACTGGCTGGCTTCTTGAGATTGTCAACTACAACATCGCCAACATGCAGTACGTCGCTGCTGGTGACCTGCGTGCTCTCGACACTCTTACCGGAGTCACCAACTTCCTCAAGCAGCAGAAGATCGACATCGAGGAGATGCGCTCCAACATCGAAGAGGCCAAGGATGCGCTCAAGGAGATCATCAAGGGCTGCGCCGAGGCTACCCTCAAGAAGCCCACGCCTCTTGAGCTCCAGCGTGGCTTTGCCACCATTCCCCTGCGCGGAATCGACGTGCCTTTCCACTCGACCTTCCTGCGCTCTGGTGTCAAGCCCTTCCGTTCGTTCCTCCTCAAGAAGATCAACAAGACGACGATCGACCCTGCCAAGCTTGTTGGCAAGTACATTCCCAACGTGACGGCCAAGCCCTTCGCCCTCACCAAGGAGTACTTTGAGGATGTGTACAAGCTCACCAACTCGCCCAAGATCGCCTCGATCCTGGCGAACTGGGAGCAGTACACTCAGGACGGCCCTGCTCCTAACGGAGTGAACGGCGTCACCGCGGACCACGAAGGTCCCGGTGCTGCTGCGTAATGTGTGGGCGTTTGACGCTACACGATGATGAAAACAATGGCGAGGATACTAGATGACGAATGGCGGACACTCATGACTCTAGACGGCGGCGTAATTGTTGTACAAACTACTATGGATGTTTTTTCTGATGATTGTTTTATCACGCGGTAGAAAGTGTTTGTGTTTTATGGGCGGCGTCAATTGTTAATGGTCGTACAAGGACAAGAAAGAATAGAGAGCAATACTTCATAAACCCTATCGCCAGTGACTCGAAGTGAATGAAAACAAGGTCAAGGGATGACGGCTTGTGTCGCCAACAATCACGAGAAAAATGTCCGAGCCGAAATTCTTGTCCAACACTGAAAGGGAGGGGCGGACAGTGGTGATACATACGAGTGAGGTGTTGGGAGCCAACAAGCACCGCAGTTCTGACAGCGGGGGATCGACGGAAAGGGAATGCAAGGACCCGGCATCGCAGATGGTTCTTCCGAAGGTGCAGCAGCGTCAGCACCAGCGTCCCGAGGTGCATTTGCAGTGATCGACGGACTCACCCGCGCCAGGCCGGACAGGACAGACCAGACCGGGGAGGGTAAGTCGACCTGCCTATCAGGGGTAACAGCTCTTATCGGACTTTGGACTATCGATATGGTCATGTGGGATGCTATTCTCAGGTGGCCGCCAAGGCTTAGAGCGTTCGCGTGGGAGGACAAAGAGGCTTATCGGATTATCGGACTGTGGCTGAAGGAGGGGAGCTGGAGCTGGAGCTGGAGTCCATGGGGGAGGAGAGGGGAAGAAGAGGGGAAAGCCCCGAAGGGGTCGATGCGTTCGGCTTGCGGCGAGCGCCGTGCGACGTTTTACGGTGAGAAGCGCCCCCCCCCCCTTTGCCCTCCTCCGCCCGTCTGCGGGTGGGGGGAGTTTTGGCAGGTCGTTTCCGGGGGTCCGATTGCCTGGAACACAGCACGCTCCAGGCTTGTGGTTGTCGAGTGTCTCGCGGGCAGCATCTGAACTCGTTGTTTATTTTCCCGGCCGGCTTTGTGTCTTGGAAGTTGTTTCTATTTTATTTCATCCAAGTTAGTAAAAGCAGGGTCACACGAAGAGTCAAAATGTGTTTGCTGTAGTACATGAGGTTTCCGGATCGAGTTAAGAAGGTCAAGCTGGTTTCTGTAGACACGTGGTTTCTCCCGGTGCCGCCTAAGGGAATTTTATCTTCAGTGAAGGAGGCTTGATGTGGAAGTTGCGAGGCGTGCCGCCGGCGAACCCCTACCGCAGCGCCGCTAGCAGCTTACAGCTAGGTAGGTAAGGTACGGGCGCCCGCCCGCAGCTCCCCTTTTTTTCCCCTCCTCGCGCTTCTTCGTCTTATCTTTCCGACGCCGCGGCCGGGTTTGGTTGGGGTGCGTGGGTTTGGGTGTTCATTCAGGATGCGCGTCATCTGTTGCACTGCATATATCTACCCGCCTTCCCTTTCCTCCTTTACGACTTCGGTTCTTGCTTTTTGTCTGTTTTGTTTCTGAGTTTTGACGAGCGAGTTGCTGTCGGACTTGGCATTGGCTCGTGATCGCGCACATACACACCACAGCACAGCACACCCTCTCTCGCTCTTTTGGTGGTCTTCTAGAACGGAGGACAGGAAGGATTCCCTGGGCGGCCTGTGACAGTGGTTAACGAGAGCTCAACTTGGACAGCGACTCTTGGAACGACGTCAGCTGCGCCGAAGTTGCCGACGACAGCCGAGCGAGGTTTCCAAAAACGGTGAACGGATAATTGACGAGGGTATTCCAAGCTGCACTCGGACGACATTGTGTTTAGTTTTCTTTGCCATCTTTGACCACGTTATCTCGACCCGAGTCTGGAACGTCTTTGTGGGGTCGTGATACGCAAAGATGGGCGACATGATTAGAGACCCCTCCCCCGCATCAACCGAAGCAGCCCCGCGTGGAGGAGCACCGGCGGCACCGCAACAAAAGCAAAACAAGCTGTTCCTCGGCACGTTTATACACTCCAAGACCCGCGAGGAGCTGGATTACCTCCACGACACGGCCATCTGTGTCGATGCCACGGGTACCATCGTTGCTGTTGAGAAATGCGGCAGCCGGGCGGAAGCGGAGGAGGTGCTATTCCCCAGGCTCGGGTGGGAGAAGGCGGATGTGAAGGTACACGTCGGAAAGGAGGGGCAATTCTTCTTCCCCGGGTTCATTGGTATGCCGTTTTTTGTCTTCCTGCTGGTTGATGACCTTTCGCTAACCTGGAATACTATAGACACCCACGTCCACGCATCGCAGTACCCCAACGTCGGCATCTTCGGCAAGTCTACCCTCCTAGACTGGCTCAACACCTACACCTTCCCCCTGGAATCCAGCCTCGCGGACCTCAAGAAGGCGAAGCGCGTCTACACGGCCTGCGTAAAGCGCACCCTCGCCCACGGCACGACCACGAGCACCTACTACGCCACCATCGACGTCGCCGCCACGAACCTCCTCGCCGACATCTGCCTCGCCCTCGGCCAGCGCGCCTTCGTCGGCCGCGTGTGCATGGACCGCCCAGGCCTGTGTCCGGAGTACTACAAGGACGCGGACGCCGCCGACTCGCTCCGCAAGACGCGCGAGACCATCGCCCACCTCCGGCGCATCGACCCGGGCTTCGAGCTCGTCGCGCCGGTGCTCACGCCGCGCTTCGCGCCGTCGTGCTCGGAGGAGGCGATGCTGGGGCTGAGCGCGCTGCAGCGGGAGCTCGACGTGCTGGTGCAGACACACATCTCGGAGAATCAGAGCGAGATCGAGCTGGTGGCGGAGCTGTTCCCGCAGAGCGAGAGCTATACCGATGTCTACGACGGCATGGGCCTGCTCGGGGAGAAGACGGTGCTGGCGCACGCGATCCACCTGTCGGAGGCGGAGGCGGCGACGATCGCGGCGCGCGGGGCCAAGGTCAGCCACTGCCCGTGCAGCAACTCGAGCATCACGAGCGGGGCGGCGCGGGTGCGGTGGTTGTGGGATAAGGGGATCGAGGTCGGGCTCGGGACGGACATGAGCGGGGGGTACAGCCCGAGCGTGCTGGAGGCGGCGAGGCAGGCGGCGCTGGTGTCGCGGCACGTTGCGATGGGGCTCGAGGGCGCGGAGAAGGAGAGGGCCAAGCTGACGGTGGAGGAGGTGCTGTATCTGGGCACGAGGGGCGGTGCGAAGGTCGTCGGACTCGGGGAGAGGATTGGCGGGTTCGAGGTGGGCATGCAGTGGGATGCGCAGCTGGTTGAGCTGGGTGTTGTTGATGAGGAAGGGGAGATTGAGGGGGGTATGGATTCGAATGTGGACGTGTTTGGGTGGGAGAACTGGGAGGAGAGGGTTGCGAAGTGGGTGTTCAACGGGGATGACCGGAATACGGTTGGGGTTTGGGTCAAGGGGAGGTTAGTTCACTCGAGGAAGTGAGGGGTGATGGTGATTAAGGAAAGCATTGCGGGCGGCGTTGGTCTTGCTCTTTATATGGTGTTGATAGAAAGTTAGTTGGAAAGACAATACATGAGGGTTCAGTCTTCTTCAACAACTATATTCCACCTGGGCTGTTGTTTCATTATCACTGTTACCGTCTTCGCCATTGTCGCCGTTGTCGTTATTATTGTGATTGTTTTCGTCGTCGTTATTGTTATCGTCCTCGTCCTCGTCGTCCTCGTCGTCCTCGTCGTCCTCGTCGTTATTGTCCCTACTGTTACTTATATCTTTACCTTTCTTTCAATATTCTAATCATCGAGTTCATCTCACCACGCAGAAATCCATGAATGACCCATAGAGACTGGCTATTGATGGCTATTGAGGAAGGTTTCATGAGGCTTCATGTCGCACCTGCTTCCATGGTGTTGGTTTGGATTGAAGATAAGCTCCCAGCCTGCCGGGCTGTCAGCATGTGCGGCACCAGTGCTTCACCGGGAGTAGTTGCACCTTCCTGTTGGTTCGCCATGCAGGTCAACGGGGGCGTGACCTGCTGATAGATGCTCTCCCTCCAACCTCATTGGCAAGAAGCCGCTTGCTTGGCGCCAGGCAGCCTTACCATCCTTTTCCCCAGCTGTGACCCGATGCTACTCCTGCTCCCTCGCCATTTCCACCACCTCTCACCATATCCTCACGAACTTCAACCGCGACGAGCTTCTCATTTGACTTGAGTATGCGATACGAACTCTCATACCGTCCAAATCACATGAACAAGTTTCCATTGTTGGCTACGTTTCTGCGAGACTGTCTGATACTCGCCCGCCATGTCCGGCCTCGAAGGGCTGAGCCTCGCCTGCAATGTCATGCAGCTTATCGACTTCAGTCAGCAGACCGTCTCCATGTGCCGCAGCATATACGAGAGCGGTAAATTCGAACCTGGACTCGAAGCACAGGCGAGCTCTTTGCAAGATGCCTCGTCAGAGGTAGTAGCCCTACTTCGGAGCAAGACCGTCGCCGCATTAAAGACCACCGGAGCAGAACGACGTCTGTTTGATGTTGCACCCAAATGTATTCAGCACGCGAAGGATCTCCAGGAAGAGATTGCCTATCTCACACCTCATCAGCCGGGTAAAATTCAAGCTTTGGTTGCAACCTCAAAGGCCGTCTGGAGAAAGCGCCGTCTAGAACGGCTCAAGGCCAACCTCGCCGACGGGCAGAAGCTCATGGAGACCCTGATCCTGGTCAGAATATTTGCAAGAGTGGAAAAGGTGTGCGAGGACGATCCGGCCTTCTTGGGGCGTATGGATCATCGCCTTACAGCTTTCATTTCGAGATACTCCGAGGACCACGCTGCCCTTCGGGGGATCGTGCGGGACGAATCTGAGGATATTCGAGGTCATGTCACCTTAGAAGCCTCCAAAACCCGGGATTCTGTTTCACTACATGTCACAGCCAGGCTCAATGCCTCGGAAAGATCGATCAAGCAAATGGTATCAACATCAACCGCCACCATCCAGGATAATCTGGTTCGGAAACTGGAGACGATCAACATAGCCGCAAGCAGCGAACAAGATCACCATCGCCTACCTCAGAGTTTGAAGTATACCGATATGAATGAACGGAAGAACAGCGTTAGGACAGCACATTCGCAGACATTCGAGTGGATATTGAAAGATAATCCTCGGCGAATCGACAAGTACTCTGTTGCAGGAAGCCAATCAGATGTGGTCGAGATCGCAGACGTCGACCAGAACATCAGAGATAAGGTCAAGGATACTGGCAGTGATGAAGTCACCATTTTGGGCTCTGAGAATGGCTCCCAATCGGACGTTGAGGGGAAAGATAGGGGCAGTGAATCCTCTTTTCATGCCTGCACCCAGGTCCCTCTGTGGGATAACTTCGTTGAATGGCTTCGGGGAAATGACCGCAACTTGTACTGGGTCAGTGGCAAGCCTGGTTCCGGCAAAAGCACCTTGATGAAGTTCATCGAAACGAGCGAAGACACTCTTAAAATCATTGGCAGAAGAGCATTCAAACCCCCGGCTTCTATCCCACTTCGTATGGAAGCCAGGAAGACCTATGCAAAGAAGCCTCAAGGGCGTTGTGTGCTCTCTGCTTTATCAAGTATCCGAATCGGACAGGCAGTCCTGCATCGAATTGCTAGCCAGATTCCCGCGGCTGCGCTACAAAGACTCCGATACCGATTGGACGAATGAGGAGTTGAAGTCAGTTCTGCTGAGCGTCCTCCGGAATCGCTCGCAGAGATATCTCATTCTATTGGATGGCCTCGACGAGATGACCTTTTCTATTGATGGCGAAGCTCCTTTGTTATCCCTTTTGGATGAACTACTCACGAATCAATGCGTCAAGCTCTGCGTCTCAAGTCGACCCGAGCCTGTATTTCAGAGGTATCTGAGCAAACACCCCATGCTCATGATGCAAGATCTAAACATATTTGACATTCGAAAGTATGCGGAAGATAGCTTGCAGATGTTGAAAGTCGAATCAACCGAGTTGCTTGACCGGCTTTCTTGGCAAGTTGTCTTACGTTCAGAAGGCGTCTTTCTTTGGGTCGTCCTTGTCCTAGAAAGCGTCAAAAGGGGACTCAGCAATGGCGATACTTTGGAAATCATCTACACTCGCATAAGATCCCTCCCGAGAGATCTCAAGTTGCTATACCTGGACATGTGGTCTCGATCCAATGGAGACAGCATCTACTACGAGCAGGAGGCAATACTGTACTTTCAGCTTGTCATGGAGACTAATAGTTATCTCAAGTGGTCCATATGCAGCCTCCTCCAACTGGCAACAGCATCGAAAACGGCTTGGCTGGACAATTTCGAAGCGCAATCCAGTATTCCAAGCATCCAAGAAGTCATGATTCGCTGTAGAAATGTTTTTCAAACATTGTCCACGAGATGCTTGGGCTTGCTGCAAGTCCAAACCATGGATCTCCAAGAGCTTGTGGACGTCCAAGATGGTGATCCTAGCTTTTGGTCAAACACCAGTGTTGGATTTACCCACCGCACAGCCATCGAGTTTCTCGTTGACGACGAGGACGGGAGAAAGATCCTACAAGGCCACGCCCTCAAGCCAGACGAACTAGTCTCAAAACAAGTCAAGGCCATCTTATTGACAGCTTACTTCTTTAAGCCAGAATATCGGGCGGCAACGGAAGAGCTCAATATGCCACACGATGACTTTTTCACGGGCCTGATATTCACAAGACTTTTGCTTCACAAGAAGGATAGTATTTCCTCTGTTACACTACACAGCCTCTTGTCACTGGTACATAGGCACTACAATGCCATTATGCGGCATCCCCAGAAGCGCTCCAAGAATTCTCAGGAACAATTTCTGGCTATCGCCACCTCCTTCGGCTTGTCCGATTGGGTTGCGGGGCTTCTCGACTCAATCGAAGCATCTAGCGGGGAAATGCAACTTTTCCTGTTGAGAGCAGCCTGTGCGCCATTCAGTATTCTGTTTTCGTTTGGCGATTGCTTCGCTTTCGATGAAAGAACCCACTTGCCGAGACGAATGAACAGAAATGACTCCTACATGTCAGAAGTGGAAACTCGGCAGGACTTGAAGCGGGAAACTTTGATACGGGAGATCCTGTCACGCTGTTCCCAGCCTAGTAGCCAAGCGGGCGCTCTGTTCCTCCAAAAGTCTAGTCCTCGGCATAACACCGCATTGGATGGCATCTCGAACGCCTGGCGCTGCTTTTTGGTGCACAACCTTCAAGGAATCGCCGATGACCACTTCTCCCACATACCAGACAACATATGGGCCGAGAAAATGCAAACCTTGCAAAGTTTTCTCTCCGCACACGTCTCACCCCATATTCGGCGCCAAAAGTACATTATTTGCGTGTCTTTCTGCATTACTCCAACCCTGCAGCGTTGCGCAGCTGTATTTCTTAAGTTGCCCATTGCCGCTTCCCAACGTGGAATGTGACATATATTTTGAAGTCAACGACGACTTTATTCTGAGCGCCATCCTAGACAACATGTCAAACCACGGGGTGCAGGAGCTTCCATTTGCCAGCACAGACTTACAACCGGCCGCCAGAGTCGTTATGTTTCGAACGTGGACTCATTCCGCCACAACCAACAAGCCGCGTTTTCTCAAAAGAGCTTTGAAAGTCGGCCATGGTGACAGTGAAAAACTCTTCAAGGAGATCGTGTTCCAGGTACCGGGGCAGGACTTTGCGATTTAGAAGAGGCTCGTGGCCCAAGCTGAGTTGCTGGACGGCGCCTAGGGTATTGTAGACGGATTGAAAGCTGCTGGCTACGAGCTTAGTGAGGTGGACACTACTTACGAGTGTATTCATGGGAGTGTTCTCTGATAGAGTAATGAAGGCGGCTAGAACAGTTGTTATTCGTACTGATGTATTTATGCTTGATCTATCCCATCGAGGCGGTTAAATCTGAAGGCGTTGGTCGAGTACCATGTGATGTACCCCTATCAGGTGCACCCCTCAATGTCACTACCACTCCTGTTGTCCCCATTGTCTCCGTTGTTCCTGTCGTTCCTGTTGCTTCTGTTCTTGTTGTTCGCATTAGAAGAAATGGTCTGAAACTGCCGCCCGAGTAAGAAATCCCTTTTCCTTTCCAGTTTGTTCTACATTTGAATTTGGAAAGGCTGCTAGCCTCAAAATGCTCCGTCAGAATGAGGAGTCATACATGGAGTGACACGCAAGAAAGGAGTTCGAGATTTCTGCGGGGAATTGTAGCGAATTCGTTTGGCGGTTTAGCTTCTTTCCCTGTCTACTCCTTTGCTTGCTGAAAACCAGCTTTCTCTGACGGTATCCTTCTGTTTTGTGCACGTACGTGAGGAACCCTCGCTTCCGAGAAAGTTTAACTGTGGACCTATATGGGCAATATTCAGCGTACAAGGGCAAAATTTCCACCGATAGAATCTGAGCTGTACCGCGATGGGCATTGCTGCTCCGCCATGGCTCATGGGAAACAAAACTCTTCACTTCTGCTGTCTCCGGGCATTGAACTCTCATCCCTAACCGCACGATTAATTTCTTTGTGGGCTCGCTCATTGAAAAGATATTCCAAGGAACACAAGTTGGTCGCGAGGGAAATTGAGTGCAACATGGTACGTTCAACTTTGAGAGACCAGTGCGAAACTAATCTCCTTCCTGCTCTGACTCTGAATCAATCCTCGGGTCATCCATCACGTTTTGAACAATCTCGGCCAGAGACGCTGCCACACCTTCGCGTTCAAGTTCCCAATTACGTCCAATAGGATGATAACTGACATGGCCGACGTCGCTCTGCAAAGCCAACCAGGCTGCCAGTAGCGCACCTTCCACAAGCCATGCCTGCCGCTCCTCCAAGTCAGGGAAGAGTCCACCAAAAGAGCTGAGGTGGCATTCTCCCGCCACGAACGAGTCATCATACTGTCCTGTCCAACGTGCAAAAGCGTGGAGCCAAGCAGCGGGGTACCGGTCTTCGAGATCTTCAAGGTCGATGTGAAAGTCGATTTCGGGGTCGTTGCCGGGCCAGTTTGAATCGTACCACAAGCCTGAAGTCCCCCAGTCCGTGAATATGGCGTACCCGTATCCCATGTTAGAAGACTGGCGATCTGAGGCGGTGTCTACTGTAGGGGTGGACTCTTGGTGAGATTCAGGTGAGCCTGTTGGCTGCGTGTCAGGCTGGATTTTGGACGCAGAGTCCGGCGCATACTGTGATTTGGTGGCCGAGGGATTGTCTTTGAGACGTACGCTGAGCTTTTCGCCTGTTTTTAGCTCAACTATTAAGCCGTAGGGTGTCTCTAGAGTGAAATGAATAGTGATATTTGAAGACTGAGGTAGCAGAAGGAACGCTTTGATGTAGGTGAGGTCGGTCATATTCGCGGTTGAAATCGATATTCGTTGTGTGAAAGAGCGAAGGCTTCCTTTGGAACAGGGGAGCGGTATCTGTTGACATTTAACGTGTCGACGCTGAGTCATACCTTTGCGCATGATGAGGCTTTGTGTATCTCCGTTGCCCATCAAGGTGCATGCTGATGTACCTAAGGTAGATACTAAAATTTAGGGCTATCTCAAGAGCCGGCGAGCATGGTGGTAGATATCATGGTAAGAGGAATCTGGACGAAGACGAAAAGAACGAAAAGCGTAACGATAACAAAGTGACGAAGAAGAAGAAGAAGAAGAAGACGACGACGACAAACACGATGCCGTTGAAGATATCTTAATGACAGAGATGGCAACAAAACAGTTAAAAGGCTTGCCTTGTTGCTTGGAGTTTTCCGCTACGACTCGTTTCACTCGCTTCCGTGCAAGGGTACTACTACCCCCTGAGGGGTCGAGCGACACATAGGATCATCTACAACATGCCCGATAATCACACCGACTGGACAATCAAGACACTCTGAGACCAAGAATTAAACAAAATCAAATCCAAATTTCAACCGCAGAACAAAAAGAAGCTTCCCATGTCCCTTTGAAAGCTTTTCAGGTGACAGCTTCTGCTTACTGGTCTTTATTTCACTATCACTGGACTACACTGCACTGCCTGGATCATACCAAAGCCTATCTTGCCGTCATCTCTCCTTGCCTCAGACTTTAGCGACCGGCCCTGACGCTCTCTCTCCGCGCGCTCACGGGCCTGGCGCTCCTCTTCCCGCTGTCTAGTCTGCTGTTCAAGGCGCGCGAGGTCATCGTTGACTCTCTACAAACCCATCAATCATTCGTTAGTACAATTTCTGTCAAACAGTTGACTAATGTCTATGTGTAAAAAGGCCGTATACTGCTGTCAATACAGCGATACTGTACTTGGATAGTCTTACCTGTTGCCAGTCCCTGGCATCTTGGCGGTCTTGCTCACGCTCCTCGTTTCTGCGGCGCTGCTCTCTCTCACGCGCAGGATCCTGTCTTCCGAGCATTTTTGCGGCTGGAAGATGTCAGTGTTTGTCTGGAGAGCAACTGACGTGTGGACAGCTGCAAGCAGAAAACTCACAGTGGTTTTGATTGGTGTGCGATGTTGGTGTTGATAGATATCTTGAGATGCTGAGTTTTGCTCGATTTGTGTTGTACAGATTTGATTTTACGGGCGTCAAGCTGAACCTTTTATATGTCATTTCTTTCTTCTTTGGAAACCGAGGAATCATTGAGCTTTCGCAGCACAAATTCAATCACTGCTCTTGCTCGCGCACACTACCAGGGAGCAATTCTAGGAGTGGAGCGGTGAAGGAGTTCTTCAATCACAGTAAAATGCAGTGAGCAAGCAGAACACTTCAGACCTGCCATATGAACCATACCAGTGAACTGCCTTGCAATGACTTGAACTGTGTTTATTGTACATTATTTTGAGACTCAGGTTGAACTAAAATATCGCGTAATTATGTGGTGATGTAGTGCATGGAGGACTAGCGATACAATATAGTTCAGAGAACGGAGGATCGATAGCAATGTCTGTCAAATGTCGGCAATATCCCATCAAGCCTCTCGATTTGCATGTGCGGATACAAACGGGACTGTTACCTTAGCGGTAATAAAGCTCATGAAGCATTCACTAGATACTAACCCATGCTGATTTATCGTTATCTTTCTGAAGTGAATAAGTTGCATCGGCAATGCGTCAATATTGAGACATTGAAGCTTTTTATATTCTTGAAGACCTCCCTTCGGGTCCTCAAACAAAATCAAAGTATACGCAGCTTGTAAGGCATCATAGAAGAGCAATATGCTGTAAGCTGAACCTGGACGTCTTTTGACTTTTTGGAATTCAACGGAGCAATGACCGCAGGTAGCGAAAAATGCGACACAGTGAATAGACTGTGTACTGCCCATATTGTTACCTACCACAGCATGATCGGATAATACGCACTAGTAGGCGGTCGATAGCGGTTTGCAAAGGCCACCTGCATCAACGGAACTTCAAATTCCCATCAGACTAGCTAGTGACAGACTGCGCTACTCAGACTCTGACCACACATTGGCCTGGCTCGCCTGAATACTTAATTCGCCATTCTTTAACAAAGGTTGTTGATATTCTTGGGCAGGATGCAAATACATACAATCACCGCACGTGTCTTATCTTAGTCCACCAAGGGGCAGTGTAACATCAGAGGCCTCGAAATCAATGATGAGACAGTAATTGCAGACTATTTCAGTGTCTCAAAGTCTAAAGTTAATTAGAACCAAGATGATGTCGTACTTTCATAGAAGAAAGGATAGCGGAGAAGCAAAGTACAGCTGGAGGGGTTTTTATCCTGGTGTCAATAGATAGGCCAAAAGTGAAACCATGAAACCGGAACCGAGAGCCTGAAATTGAATTTTTTCAACTATGCTACTTAATGACTACGATGTTTGACTGCGACTTTTCTCACTGCTGCTATTGCTATGGATGTGATCATAAGGGGTTATCTGCGGTTCCGACGCTGGGCGCGCTCCTGGGCTCGCCGACGCTCCTCTTGAATGGTGGCATTCCTGGTGTCGACGACTAGCTAAAGAAGTGATGTTAGAATGTATGTACTCATTTGGGGCATGTAATTCATATTTCTTACCTGTGCAAGCTGATCCATATTTCTGTTTTGAGCCTCCTGCCTCTCCTTCTCCTGGCGCTTCTGGAGCTCACGGGATTGATCTTGCTTGCTGAGCATGGTTGCGGCTATAAACTATCAGCTTATGTCTTCGTATTTTGAGTATGAGCAGATGTCTACTGGGTTGGGTGTGTTAACGGTTCTTGATGTGGTTATAGTGGTTGTTTGGGAAGAGAGTATTGCGCAAGTGTTGTGCTTGGTGGATATTGCTGTGATCTGCTTCTTGATACTACGATGGCATTCTGGAAGTCAATTTATATGTAGCTTGGCTTGTTACGGAAAGTAATTCACTTTCGATTGGAGGGACCATTGTGCGTGAATAATTGTCGGCCTGTGAAGTAGCACTGTGGCGGAAGGTGTTTGGTTCGAGGAAAGGTGTACCGAAAGAAGGCTTGGTTCATTATTGCATATCACCTCCATAGCACAATGGCCTGTGTCGAAGTGACTGACTGATTAAGAGGTTCTTATCATATGCTGTCGACCATGGAATCACGCTACGCGTGCAGACTCTCGGGCTGAGCAGCACAACACAAACTATTAGAACAAACCTCAATTCACGTTTATGAAGTGACTTGAATTCGATGTAGGCATCTGGCCTTTTCTTTCTTCTCTATTTTGCGTATTGCAAGGGTCAGTGTGTACGACATGAATACATGGACTGGGCGATATTGTTCAGAGACATTTGGCCTGCTCATGTAAGTCTCAACCGTATCCTGAGCTGAGACTTCCTTCAAAGGGCTGTATGTTTAGAATGGGCTTTGCTAGTTGGGTAGTGTCAGTCGGCTACCCGCGCAGTCCGCAGCGTACTTAATACTTCTGGAAGAACACTAGTAATAGACAAAACGATATGCATGGCGATAGTAATGACGACGATGGTGATAACGACGGCGGCGACGATAACGACGGCGGCGACGATAACGATGGCGACGACGATAACGATGGCGACGACGAAAGCGACTACGCAGGCTAGGTAGGTTACACGGATTAGACAAGTGTATAGACACTGCCTGGCTATCAGAACTTTTTAGAATTTATGAGTCCTTAGTCCTAAACCATATCTAAAGTCTTAGAACGCCCGCGTAAAGCATTGTACAGAACCACGTGAACATCATGACATAACAGACTAGAAGAGTTTTCTCAAGTATCCGGCCCACTCCCGCGATCTTGCAAACCGGTTCCACGAGCATGGTCAAGACTATGATAAACAAGAGTCTGCAAGCCCCAGCATTTGGTCAGCTATCATAGTCGTGCGGCATGCCGACGGCCTCCTCGGACTTTCATATCGGGAACTCACGGTAAACGACTCCGGCCTATGCGCTCAATCATCTTCCCTACTCCAGTGACCCAAGCACTGCCTGCGATGTTGGTAGGGGGAATAGGGTCACCGATACTGACGACATCTACATTCTTTGAGCCCATGTCGTTCTTTGGTGGAGGAGATTCTGGTGATTGGGAGATTGATTGCCGCCTGAGCTGTGCCATACTGACGATCACAGCGTATCTATCCAACTGGCTGCAGACCGTGGCGACAAAATTAAGAGTGATGTGCCAGAATAATTCTCGTAGGAGAGGGAAGTCAAGCAGGCAAAGGCTTGATTAGAGCGGCCGATTTCACAGAGTAATCAGCTTTATGGACAAGACACGGATTTGACAGGGTCTAGTACAGAGCGGCCGCCTTGCGAGCGGCCGCCTCGACATAAGTACCAACAAGCGGGTACGGGTGGGAGCCGATTCCCGCCTTGGCTTTCCCTAGGCTGCAGCGATCCGCCCCACAGAGACTCCATGAGAGCTATGTAAGAGCACAATCGAATGGTCAGAGCCGGTTCCCGATTTCGACAGAATGCCCCATCATATCACAAAAGCTTTTTTCCCAACCTAAGTTCCATCAAGATTTCTAATTAAGCCGAAAAGGCGATGAGTTCCACGATGCTGTGGAGATTGGTTTGTGATCTGTCACTTCAAAACAGGCAGCAGAGAGCCGCAGCGCAAAAAGCATCCACTTCGTTGATGCACTAATCTGGAAGTACTGGAGGAGAAACCGTTTCTTCACTGCTTTTCATAAACAATGTTAATTGCCTTTGATATTGGGTCAAGAACACCGCCAGTGTGTGGTTGAAACGCATTTTCCTCCATGTGAGGTCGTTGCCGAATAGTCGCCTTTCCCACCTCTTCTAGATTCTGTGATCATTATTGCTAGACATAATACCGAGATACCCTTTTCGAGGTATCAAAAGCATTGACGTCCTTGCTAGTAGATCTAGAACAGACAGAATTCGCAAAGCCTCCGCACATCTATCCCTTGAAGCTGAGGTGCATCCAGAAGTACGGCCCAACTGTTTATGGAAAGGCCCCTCTGATTTGAGAATCTGCGGGTGCTGCGGAATGTGTCCCAGAAATTATCATCACATGGCGGCTCGCCAGGGTTTTGAATGGAGAGTAGTTCGAGAGGTCTCTCGATACGAGGGACTTTGGTACACTATCTCGAAGAAGAAGGTGTTGAGGGTCCTGGACCGCATCGTCGAGCGGCTGAGTGGAGATGTCCGCAAGGAGATATGACTTTCCAACTAGTGGTCAGGTGAAGGTGGCAATGGCTCGATACCTAAGTTTTCACGGGATTTATATATAAAGTGAAAATTTCCTTCCAAGTTTTCATTTGATTCTACATCAGTTTCAGCCACAGTATCACACTATTCTCTCGATTCTCAACCCATTCAATCCTCTGGCCACAACAATGAAGTTCCTCCAAACTGCCGCGTATGCCTTGATGGCCAGCCAACTTACTGCGGCTGCGCCTTTGACGGAAACAGATTCGACGAAGAGTATCATTGAATTTCGCACTCCCAACGATGCCTATGCCGTGAAAGCCGCGTTGGAGCAACGAACCAACGTATGCAGAAGGATCGGCACAACTCTCCGTACAATTGGCACAAGTCATGCAGTGTAAGTTGTCGTTCCGTTCTATACCAATACCATCAGCATATTCAGATTTGACTGAAAATTGATTCAGCGTCATTTTCATGACCACTGGATCTGACCTGGTTGAGACTGTTTGTCGTCTCGCGGGCGGCACCAACTGCGAGGATTGGGCGAAGGCAATCCGTCTTGGGTTCCTCCTGATCTACGGGATCGCCTCCGGCACCAGCGGTGCTGTGCCCGAGACCAACATGAAGATGAAGCGCGAAGAGATTGGCGAATACAGCGACGCCATGCGATCATACTGGGAGAATACTCTTATCGACACCGGCCTTGCATTTGACTCAGTCAGCGTCCTGCCGTTCGACGAAGAGGTGGCAGCCCTCGAGAAACGTGACGACGCTGACCCCAAGCTTCTCGCTCGCATT